TTGTCGCCATGTTCGAGCCCATTGTTGCCGCCACTGTGTCAATCCATCCCGTTGATGGTCTTCCCCTTTTTTTCCCCGACTCTCTACTTTACCAAACATGATATCCTTCTCCAGGGACTGGTCCCTCCCAATCATACATATTGAACATACATGTTCAAGTTATGTGAGATGAAGTCTCACCACCCTTCCTTCTAAGGAGCATTCCGGCTGTACTTCTTCCAAGATAGATATGTCCATTCCTCTGGCAGCCCATGGAAAGTATTCCATCTTCTTTGCCAACATCATAATTCAAAGGCATCAGTTCTTCTTGGCCTTCCTTATGCATTGTTCAGCTTTTACATGCATATGAGATGATTGAAAATACCATGGCTTGGGTCAGGTGCACCTTAGTCCTCAAAGTGACTTTTTTTTTTTTTCTTTTGGTTTTTAACAACTTAAACAGGTCTTTTGCAGTGGTCTTTTGGTGTAATAATCCTGTAAATATGAAAAGGATAAAGTCAATTTGAGGTCGTTATTGATCTGTTTTTAGATCTCTCAGACAAATTTCAGGGACTTATCAGTAGAATTCAAAAGTCCATGGTTTTCTTTTTACATTTAAAAAATATTTTTATTGGTGCATAACATATACAAATACAGAAAAGTAGCATCTGATGAATGATCAAAAGTGAATATAACCATAAGAGAATCAAAAAATTGAACAACAGCACCTCAGAAGCTACCCTTGGGCCACCTACTAGCTGCTTACCACACCTGCCTCCCAGAGAGCTAATATCTACATGTGGGAGTTCATTACAATGAAGCTAAGGACAGAAGTTATATATGCTATATAATTTAGGCCAAGGCTTAAAACAACACTTGGTCACTATTTAACTAGACAATTATCATTTATCTACCTAGTAGACATTATTAGTATTTTATTGGCTATAAAGAAATTAGGGAGAGTTATCAAGGCACTGGGGTGCAAAATATACTGATAATTATAGAAGACTAGATAGTGGGATTTTTAATTAATTTATTATTTTTATTTTATTTTATTTTTTTGTAGTGTTCCCCCTACCCCCCACCCCTGGTAACCAACAAAGAAAATTTCCTTCCATATATAAACTTTTTCTTGTTTTTTTACAATAATGAACTAATACTATATTTGTCCTTCTGTGATTGACTTATTTCACTCAGCATAATGTCCTCCAAGTTCATGCACATCATGCGGTGTTTTGCAGATTCTATGTTATTCTTTAGGGTTGCATAGTATTCCATTGTGTGTATATACCATAGGTTGGTTATCCATTCTTCTGTTGATAAGCACCTAGGTTGTTTCCATCTTTTTGCTATTGTGAATAGTGCTGCGATGAACATGGGTGTGCATGTATCTGTTTGTGTCCTGGCTCTCACTTCATTAGAATGTATATCTAGTAATGGGATTGCTGGATCAAACAGTATTTCTAATTCCAACTTTTTAAGGAATTGCCATACTGCTTTTCACAGTGGTTGAATCATTTTACAGTCCCACCAGCAGTGTATGAGGGTCTCAATCTCTTTGAATCCTCGCCAGCATTTGCTATTTTCTGTCTTGTTGAACTTTGCTACTAGTGCTGGGGCAAGATGGTATCTCATTGTTGTTTTCATTTGAAAGTCCATGGTTTTCAACTTAATCATTTAATTTCTTTTCTTTTGTAAAAATGCTTTAATAATTTTCTCCTAAATATAAAGTACTATGGTAATCCTTCATCAATTATGGAGGTTATATTACTGAAGAGTATGATCACCAAGATAATACAGTGTTAGGAGAAAAATGCATAAAAACAGTATTTGTGCTTAAACTCAGTAAAAGAGAGTTCTAGAGGGCGTATGCTTTTGAAACTTACTAGATTTGTTGGCATTATATACTTGCTCCAGTAGGTCACCCTTTTCCATAGTCACCTTTATCAATTATTCACAAAAATTGCTGACATAGAGTCTCACATTAGTGTCGTATCATCAGCCTGTAACTCTATTGCTTTTGAATTAGCCACTTCTGCCTTGAAATTTGCTGTTTTGTTACCCATGCTTTCTTTTGTGTGTTTTTTTTGCAAGTCTCAGCAAATGCTTAGGTCTAACACTTTGCCTTTTTACAAGGTGTCTTAATGTTTAAATATTGGGGTCAGAGAGGAGGCAGTCTGGTCTTAAAGGCACATATGGAGAGAGTGGGGCACAAAACAGAACTTCCCATGAACCCACACCATGTAGGGTTTCTCTGGGCTTAGTAATGCACCCATGAAGGGTGAAGAATGGAGCCCCACTTTAAATGTCAATCACAGCTTCCCCACCCCCACGCCAAAGCTCAAATCTCAAATCAGATTACACTAAGAAATACATTCAAGGAGGTAGAAGGTATTTTGATTCTCAACTTCATTATAGCAAAAACTAGCTTTACTGAACAGGCAACTAGACATCCCCACCCACGCTCAGGGTAAGAAACTGGTTCTAAGAGAACAGAGGCCTGTCAGGGCCTGTGGGAGGCCGACCACACCTGTCAGACCATACCTGTCAGGGTACTGATTAGAACCTGGAAGCACAGTGAACAGTAAACCCACAGTGCCTACGGGGAGACCCAGTCAGGACTGTAAAGGCGAGGCTAGGCACCGTTCACTCCACCTGGGCTTGTGATTGTCAGACTCTTCTCAACTCCCTACCTCTATAAATATGTGCTCTTGCCTTGGGGAAGAGCAAAATGAAGATGAAGAGAGAGAAAGACAGTAAATAACGTGCCTCTGGGAGAGTGGAGCAGAAGTATCCTTCATTACAAAAACGTTAGAGGCCTCCATACCTGTAATAGTTGGAAGAACAGATAACCCGATGCTGTTATATCACTTCTGTCTTACACGTTTTACAGAGTAGAACAGCTCCATAAGGTTTTCTTGGCTGTAATCTTTACAAAAACCGATTGCCAGGCCTTTTTAACTGCCAACCTTTAGGTGAGTAGTCAGGGATAAACTGTGCCACCCAGGGACTTTGGAGAAACAGATAAAAACCAAAAAACAAAACCCACTGCCATCGAGTTGATTCCAACTCATAGTGATCCTATAAGACAGAGTGGAACTGTCCCATAGGCTTTCTAAGGCTGTAAATCTTTACGGAAGCAGACTGCCACATCTTCAATGCACAGAGCAGCTAGTGGTTTCGAACCACTGACCTTCCAGTTAGCAGCTGAGTGATTAACCACTGCACCATCAGGGCTTCCCAGAGAAACAGACACTATTATTTTGTTTTGTTTACAAAATGATGATGGTTTTATTGTGCTTTTATTTCCAAACTTTCAAATAGAGACCTGTTCATCAGAGCAGATTTAAAAATACAGAGAAGTTGGAAGAATATAAATACCCTAAACTACCATCACCCAGATACATTTGTTAACATTTTAACATCCTTCCAAACAACTCTGTGTTCATTTCATATAAATATGATCATCTTGTTAACACTGTTTGGTACCCTGGGTTTTTCCCATAATAATACATCTGGGTCATATTTCCATCTCAGTGAACTTACATATATAATCTTGAAATGTCTTTGCTTTTCTGGTTCTAGAGGTGATAACGCTTATTTGCCAATGACTCGCTTCTGACTCATGGCAAATCCAGGTGTGTCAGAACAGAACTGTGCACCATAGGGTTTTCAATGGCTGACTTTTCAGAAGCAGACTGTCAGGCACTTCTTCCAAGGTGCCTGGGGATCGACTCCAACTGACAACTTTTTGGTTAGCAGCCAAGTGGGTTAAGCATTTGCACCACCTAGCCCCCACCATGAACTCTGTTCCTACTCATAGTGATCCTATAGGACAGAGTAGAACTACCCTATAGGGTTTATTTCCTTCTCTCTTTTTTAAATAACTTTTTATTGTGATTTCATGATATTTTACAAAAATAAAAATTTACAAAGCAGATTCACCAACAGTTTCAGACATTTTGTTTAGTGACCCTGATTACAATCCCTGCAATGTAACAACTAAAAAATGTTTACCCTGATAATGAGGAAAGAGAGGTAAATTATAAATTAACCCCTCATGTTTTAAATAAAGGAGCTCTGGTGGTGTGGGAGCGCTGGTAGCATAGTGCCTAAGGCACTTGACTTTTAACCAGAAGGCTGGCAATTCAAACCCACCAGCCACTCCTCGGAAGGTTGGGCAATCTACTTCCGTAGAGATACTGCCTCAGAAACCCAAGGAGGGTCACTATAAGTCAGATCCAACTCCACAGCAGTGCCTTTTGTTGTTGCATTGTTGCTGGTGGTGTAGTGCTTAAGGCGTCTGGCTGCTAAACAAAAGGTTGGTGGTTCAAATCCACTAGCTGCTGCATGGCAGAAAGATGAGGCAGTCTGATTCCATAAAGATGAACAGCCTTGGAAACCCAATGGAGGTAACTTGAGTCAGAAGCAACTAGATGACAGTGAGTTTGGTTTTTTACGGCTTATATTAACTAGAAAATGCTGAGTATAAGGGTGGAAACATAATTTTCCCTAGATTTCTACCCACACACCTATTCCATTTAACGATACATTTAAGTGCTTTACAGCACTTTAAAAAAGTCTTTTGCAGATTTGCCCTGTGCAACACATCATTTGATTTCTCGACTGCTGCTTCCATGGGTGTTTATTGTGGAACCAAGCAACATGAAATCTCTGACAGCTTCACTATTTTCTCCATTCATTGTGTTGCTGTCTATTAGGTCCAATACCTTAATTTATACCCTCCGGGTGTCTGTCCCGTCACCATCAACGTCTTTCTGTGTCCAGGTGTTAACAATTGTGTGATTAGAAAACTTCTTTGGTCTGGAACAAAGAAAACATTTAAACTGTGCTGTAGTACTAACTACAAACACCCCAACCAAAAATGAGGTGTTCGGGGTTTCTAACTCCCCACTGCCGGCCTCCACCTAGAGGGCCAGGCATCCCGCACATGCGCCCCAGACTGTTCCCAGGCCATTGCGCAACTCCTGGTAACTGGCTGGTCGGCCTCCATCGCTCAGATGCGTGGCCTGGGTCGGCTAGGGGCGGTGAGCTCGCGGTTGCCTGGAGACCGGGCGGAAGGGACCCGAAGCTGCGCTGCTGTTGGCTGTGGCCGGATGGAGAAGCTGGGGGCGGAGTTCGAAGAGGAAGGAAGCCGCGACAAGGAAATGGACCCGGTCTGGAGCATGGAGCCGCCGGACGCTGAGGCGGTAGACGGCTCGCAGGGTGCGATGAAGCCTGAAGAGCCCGATGGCTTTCCTGGGTGTAAAGGGGCGGGGCGGGCCAGGCGGCGGCTGTTGCGGCGGGACCGCCCCCTCACCGCTCGGCTGCCTATGTATTTCCCGCCTCGTTGCCCTTGGGTGTCTGGTGTTTCGCGACTGCGACATCCGAGAGGGATGGCTTCGCTTGTTGGGTGTAGACTGGTGCCCGTCAACCTGTTGGTAGAGGGTACATTTGTACCTTCCTCTTCCTCCCCGTTGGGGAAGAAATACAACCAGCCAAACGAAAACTGAATAGCCTCCTAGGCCGTTCGTGGTTAGAGAAGTTGACAGCCTTGTCGCCCCGTTGTCACAAGTTGAACCCGGGTCGCAGCATGGGCGGGAAGGAATGGCTCGGGTGGAACTGAGGAGGAGGGCACGTCTCAGGGTACCCACTTCCAGCCTCTGGGCCTAATTTTCACCGTCCATCCCAGGGCCTGTCGGGAGGACAGACTCTTCCCTGCTCCTCCTGCACCCGTTTTTTGGGTAGTGAGATGGAGATAGTTTTACAGGAAAGTTTTAGTTGTAGTACGTGGTGGTCTGTAGACTCTTCACCCAGATTCTCCTAATGTTAATTTACATCGCTTTGCTACGTTCGTTCAAACTAAGACATTAACATTGGCATAGGACTGTTAATTGCATAGTTTTAATTCATATTTCACCAGTTTTTCCATTAATATTTTAAAAAATATATTCTAGGATCCAAACAGGAAGACTATATTGCATTTAGTCTGCCTTGTTTTTAACTGGTGCTAAAAACCATGTGTCTTATTTAGTGCCCCCCCCCCCCCAACGACAAGAGCTGCATTTTAAAATCCAAGAACTGTTAATTCATTTTTTGAATTCAGTGACTGGTTTTGTCTTTTATATGTCAGGCACTGTTGTATGCACTAAGAATGTCTCATTCCGATATTCCTGCTTTCATATGGGAACTAATATTGAAATTGATGTGTCTTCTGCCATTTCACATTGGAAATAATTTCATTTTTACATCGACCAAGTGATAGTATTAGCTCTTACATTACAATCAAATTTTGTTTCCTTCTATTTGTTACTGCCCTCAGAAAAATGCAGTACACAAAGAAATGCTGAGTAAGTAAATAGGACTGAAGATCCTACCATATTAGCCTGATGGAGTAATCCTAAATGACAGATAACCCCATAGATGGGAGGGTCTGGCATTTCTTTGCAATTTTTGGTTGCTTGACATGTATAATAAATCCGAGGAAAAAAAGACAACGGTGCATTCTCCTTTCTCACCTGTCAGTTACCATGTTTTAGGGAATTGTCAGTAACATAATGATGAGAAACAGTGTGTAAATAATTTCGTGTTTTGCATATCATGCAGCAGTTCTTGATGAAGCGGGTCATGGAAGTCCTTCATCCCGAGTCATAGTCCATGTGGATTTGGATTGCTTTTATGCACAAGTGGAAATGATCTCAAATCCAGAACTTAAGGGCAAACCTTTAGGTAATTCTGAATGTTTTCACTGTGTGATAGATTGATTACTCCTTTATTAAATTTATTCTGATGAACTGGATTGAGAAAGACTTGCCGGCAACACAGTGGGAGTTCTTATAGGTGCTTTATAGACAGTAGTCTTTGATTCACTACCAGATGTAAACTTTCTGAGCCTCATTTAATAAATGGTGAAACAAGTAGAACAGTCAACTGAACAGATGAACAGAGAGGATAGATTTTTAGTTTTCTCTGTCAGTCAGTGGCTTAGTTGTCAATTTGTTCCTGGTTTTCTAAGTCTGATTTCTGGAAACCTTTTTGATTACATTTTTAATAGAAGTTCTAAGTCCCCTCCCTTTTGAAATCAACTGTTAAATTGTGTAAATTCTGATAAGATAGTTGGATTTTGAACAAAACTTTAGTATGAAAATGTAAAATGAGCTTTCCGAAAACAACGATTTCATTACATTTTTAAATGAAAGGAATTTTACATTGAGAATTTTATTTTAATAATTTAATTCTTAGTATTTTACATTGGGAAAGCAGAGGGCTTTTCTCCTCTTGCATGCAGGAAGCATTAGTTTTTATACTTTAAGCGTTAGAAGCAGTATTGATTCTCTTGCTGCTTCCCCATTCTGCCCAGTTTGACTTGTAAATCCCCAGGCAGCCCAGTCCAGTTGATTTATTAAAGAGCAGTAGGATGATTCCTTTTTGGTATGCCCAAGGTAAGTAGTCATGGCAGAATTTTCTTAAGGGTGTCAAGGAGTTAAGATCAAAAGTGCCTCCATTTTCTTCTGAAAGCATTTTTGACTAGTAGCATTGTAACACAGGTTGCTTTGTAAATCAAACAAAACCCACTGTCACTTAGTCAATTCTGACTCAGCAATGCTTGTAGGACAGAGCAGAACTGTCTTTTAGGGTCTCCAAGGCTGTAATCTTTATGGAAGTGTACTGCTGCATCTTTGTCCTGCTGAGTGGCTGGTGGGTTCCAACCTCTGACCTTTTGGTTAGCAGCCAAGTGCTTAATCTCGTGCCAACAGGGCTTCTCAATCTATAAAAAAAAAAAAAAAAAAACCAACCTCCTTGGGTTTCTGAGGCAGTATCACTATGGCAATAGATGGCCCAGTCTTCCGAGGAGTGGCTGGTGCGTAATCAGCAGTATTGTGTAATTAAGAAGCATGAATGAATGATCGTAAAGGGAAGGATATGGATGCTGAAAGTCTCTTGGAGGAAACAGAAAGACTCCTTTATAAACCCACGTCCTTCGAGTCAGTTCTGACTCATAGGGACCCTGTAGCACAGAGTAGAACCATGCCACAGGATTTCCAAGGCTGTAAGTCTTTACTGAAGCAGACTGCCGCATCTTTCTCCCAAAGAGCAGGTTCCAACTGCTGACCTTTTGGTTAGCAGCCAAATGTTTTCCTTTATACTCAACAAATATTTGAGTACTTCACTTTTTTCAACTGATGGCATACAGTGGTGAGTCCATATAATTTTGTTTTGTGTTCAAAGACTACCTTTTCAGATAAGGAAGTTACCTATATGACTTTTCATATAATTCATGGATGAGTCTGAAATTACCTCTTTGACCTAGTAATTCTGTTTTTGGGAAGCTGATATATTAAAAATCCATAAGTGAAAAAAATACATATTTGGTACTGGAATAAAATTTCAGGAATAAAAGCAGCAAGGGAATGGGCAAACCCATTTTTTTCCCTGGATGTCCACATTTTACATATTTTCAGTGCTTATTTTTGTTGAGGCAAACAATCTACTTAAAAAGATTAAAAAACATAATTTTAGCAATTTAAAGTCACCAATAAACTGTAATCTAATGTAGTCAATTGGTAATCACAATCATTTTGATGGGGAGGCAGCCGGTAATGCCTCCTCACTCCTCTCTCTTCTGCAGATTACTGTTAAGAAAAAGTTCAGTGATGAGGGCATTTGCAGACAGGGGGTAAGATGGGGAGGGAATCCCTAACAATTGCTGTAGGTTGGCGGTATGTAACAAAACACTGCTTTATATTCATTGTCAGGTTACTCAGAAGAGAAGTACAGTACATACCCTTTAATGTTACATGAATTTACCGTCACTTGGAAACTATTGAACCAACCCCTACTCAGGACAAATTCTTCATCAAAGTCATCTTCACTTGCTGCACATTCAGCTTTTAAATCATGGAAAAGACTTTGAGCCATTTCTTGCACTAAAGTAAGACTTAGTAATTTGTTCTCACTTACCTACACATTTGACTTAAAAACACACTTAGGAACCATCTTGTAACCCAGGGACTGCCTAGGTTTTTTTTTTTTTTTAAATCAGCAACTTGTAATTGAACTCTCTTTTTTCACCTGGTTTATTTTTAGGTGTAAAATCTAACTTAGAGTTGTATATGGTAATACAAATTAATCTGGTTTTGCATTGTCAAAAAAAAAAAAAAAATCCTATAAAGATTTCATTTGTATCTTACTACCAAAAACTCCACAGGACATGTTTATTTATGATCATTTTTGTTAAATTCAAGAAATCTAATACCGAGGTTGCCTTCTATATATGAAATAATTAATCCCTCTTTTAACATGTTGCTACCAGAAGGCTGGCAGTTCAAACTCACCAGCCACTCTTGAGAAGGAAGATTGGGCAGTCTACTTCCGTAGTGATACTACCTCAGAAACTCAAGGAGGGGTTGCTATGAGTCAGATCCAACTCAATGGCAGTGAGTTAGTTTAGTTTTAACATGTGATTCCTACTACTTTTACCCAGTGTTTTACTATTTAAGTTATTAAATAACTTCTTTACCAAGGATGTGTGGTGGCACTGTGGTTACAGTATTGGGCTGCTAATCAAAAGGTCAGCAGTTCAAACCCATCAGCTGCTCTGTGGTAGAATTATGAGGCAGTCTGCTTCCATGAAGATGTATAGCCTTGAAAACCCTATAGGGCACTTCTACTGTGTTCTATAGGGTCAAAATTGACTTGATGGCTGTGGATTTGGTTTTTGGGTTTCTTTCCCAAGTAGGCAAAAGCTACCAAAGATTAAAAATAGGATTTGGAAAAATGATATACTAATTCTTAGTAGGAGATAGCTTGAAAACTTGGTATTTCTGCGTTGTAGAATTTTGAATGGAAATATAGTTTTAAACTGAGATAGGGCTTTTTCGTCTTATCAAAACAGGTTACATTACAGTTTTTACAGTTATAATGTGGAAATGGAGAACTTGGGTGGGGCGAACAGTTAAGCATTCAACTGCTAAGCAGAGGTTGGTTGCAGACTACCCAGAGGCACCTCAAAAGGAAGGCCTGGCCATCTCCTGCTGAAAGGTCACAGCCGGCACAACTGCAGCGCGGCAGGGCTCGGCCGCACGGCGGCGCTCGGCCACACGGTGTTGCTCGGCCCCGTGGCAGGGCTCGGCCGCATAGCGGCGTTCAGCAGCATAGTGGTGCTCGGCAGTAGTAAGGGGGCCCTGAATCGGAATTGGCTACGTGGCAACTGGTTTTATTTTGAATATGGGAGTAGTAGATTACAGTTTAAGACATTTCTTCAATCCTGCTCAGTTTTTTCCCTGAAGTATTTCTTTTTTATAGGCGTTCAGCAGAAATATTTGGTGGTTACCTGCAACTATGAAGCCAGAAAACTCGGAGTTCAAAAACTTATGAATGTCAGAGATGCAAAAGAAAAGTGTCCACAGCTGGTATTAGTTAATGGAGAAGACTTAACCCGTTACAGAGAGATGTCGTATAAGGTTACAGGTACAGATTATAGGCAATCTGCATTTAGCATTAATTTTTATATAGCGTGCCTATTTACTATAAGAATCTTTTAGTAATGTGAAATGGCATGATTATTTTTTTTCTAATAACGTTTTATTCTGGGTCTGGTCTTTTATTTATTTGAACAAATGATGTTGTTGTTGTTATGTGCCCTCCAGTCGGACCTGACTCATAGCGACCCCTCCTTGGGTTTCCGAGGCAGTATCACTACGAAAGTAGATTGCCCCATCTTCCTTCCGAGGAGTGGCTGGTGGGTTTGAACCACCAGCCTTCTGGTTAGTAGTCAAGTGCCTTAGGCATTATGCTACCAGAGCTCCTGAACAAATGATAGAACGTGACTATGTAAGTGATGTTGACAAGAAGATGTATTGTTGGAAGTAATTGTGAACTATCATGACTAGTGTTTTATATGAATACCAGAAAAAAATGTAAAGCAAAATTTAAAAGAAAATGAGTAGATACACCATAAATGGAACTAAATATTTAAAACTTAGTTTACCGTATTTTCACACAAATAACACATGTTCTATGTTTGTTTGTCAAGGCCCCTTGCCCACTCCTACTCCTCAGGGATTTTTTAAGTGTGCTGTGCCAATTTTTTTTGTGTGTAAAAATATAGTAAGCACTAAATTTAAATGAATTACTAAATAATATGCTGTTCTCTAATGCATTAATGGTAATGGAAGAGGGTTTTTTAGTGTTTTATTGGCATACTTTAAAACTATTAACAAAAATAATAGTTATATTAATCTTTTCCTAGGATTTCATGTGTGTGCTAAATACTACAATACAGCTAAATTCTTCCATGCTAAGGTTTGCATTTGACTCTTAGTGTTTTAGTAAATTAGAGGAAAAATGAAAATGCATATTTACTGGCATATAAAGATATGTAAAGAACTGAAACCCACTGCCATCAAGTCGGATACAACTCATAGTGACCCCTCCTCAGGTTTCCGAGGCAGTATCACTACGAAAAGTAGATTGCTCAATCTTCCTTCCTAGGAGTGGCTGGTGGTTTTGAACCGCCAGCCTTCTGGTTAGCAGTCAGATGCCTTAGGCACTATGTCACCAGAGCTCCTATAAAGATACATATACTTTAAAATATATTAGGATCAGCTTTTGGATTTGTTTATTCTTTTTACTATTATTTTATTTTAATTTGATTAACTGTAGCAATTTTAGATAAAATTGGTAAGTATGTATAATATACAGAGTTCTTACAAATTAACAAAAACAAAAAGGGACAAAAGATATGAATAGGCACTTCAAGAGTAAAGCGAATCCGAAGGTCCGACAATTATGTAAAAATATGCTCAAGTTATCGACTAAGGAAGTGTGAATTAGTGACACTTTTTGTTTGTTTTATACCCATCATATTTGCAAAAAAATAAAAGATGTGAGAAAAATAGAAGCATGAAGTATTGCAGCCTTTGAAAAAGCAGTCTAGAAACATTTATAATAATAAAATTAAAGATACATATATTTTTCAGCCCCATTATCCCACTGCTGACAATTTTTCAAGTAGAAATAAAATCATAACTACATAGGGATATATATGGAAAAATGTTTATTATAGCTTGGTTCATCATTGGCAAAAATACGGAATGAAACAAATGTATTCATCAACAGGAGGTTGACTAACAATGGAATATTACCAAACCAAACTCACTGCTGTCGAGTCAGATCCGACTCATAGCAACCCCTCCTTGGGTTTCTGAGGCAAGATCACTTATGGAAGTGGATTGCTCAATCTTCTTTCCAAGGAGTGGCTGGTGGGTTTGAACTACCAGCCTTTTGGTTAGCAGTCAAATGCCTTAGGCATTATGCCACCAGGAATGCATTGGAGCTGTACTGTTTGACTCCTAACTGTGTGTCTTATTGGTTAGTAAATTAAAAGCAAGATGCAAAATGGTGTGTATCACATTTTCCCGTATATGGAAATCAGTGGTCAAAACCCTACTCTCAATATATAGGTATATGTTCTTCAAGGAAGGGATGACCAGTCAAAATATTTCATGGCAGTGTAAATGACTTTTCTGGTTGACCAGTAGTTATTGGACATTTTTTGACTTATGTTTTGTTTTGTTTTTTAAAAATCTTGTGGAAAATAGAGCTAAAATATATTAGTACTGTTGACTTTTCTAAGCAAACCAACTTATTCTTGGATACACAGTTTCATAATTAACTATAAGCATTGATGTTTAATGTACTGCAGACATAGAAATGATATGCACAGGAAGTTGAGCTAACTATATTGCCATGAGTAACTGCCCTGGGAATTTAAGTTTTGGACTTCTTTTGTTGGAAAATATTACCTCTACTGTGGATATATATGAAATCATTAAGAAGATATCAGATGTGTATTTTAAGCCTAAAGTAGTTAAGTCTGTTCTAGTTATGGTTTCAGTTACATCTGTGTTCCAATATTATTTCCATTTAGAGCTATTGGAAGAATTTAGTCCAGTTGTTGAAAGACTTGGATTTGATGAAAATTTTGTGGATATAACAGAAATGGTTGAGAAGAGACTACAGCAGCTTCAAAGTGATGAACGTTGTGCAGTGACTGTATCGGGTCATGTGTACAAGGATCAGTGTGAGTGGGTTCTTACTCATTCTATTTTAGTAAGTAAAAGTACATACATTTTCTACCGTTCAGTGAGTCGGCCGTGCCATCCTAAAGTTACGACTTTTGTTGGAGGTATAGTTATACATAATCAGTCTCCTCTAACTAAAGTTAGGTGTAGACGTTCTGAGCTAAGTGTGCGGAAAATGAAAGTTTGATGACGTGTAACTCAGTGCTCTGCTGTTTTCGTCTCTGACATAGCCCACCTGTTCCCATTTTTAAGAGCCAGACCTTTGTCTTATCCTTAAGTTATAGGAGTTGGCTTGAAGGCTAAATTTACCATTGATGCCTCTCTTACTTGTTCCATCTCTACTTCCCTCAAGGCACTGAGACTCCTTGTTGCTCTCTGACTTTCCACATTACCCTTGTGGAATCTCATCCAGCCCTACCTGCCATGTGCTTCTTCTTGTTGTTATGTGCCTTCGAGTCGGCCCCGACTCATAGCGACCCCTTCTTGGGTTTCTGAGGCGGTATCACTATGGAAGTAGATTGCCCCATCTTCCTTCCGAGGAGTGGCTGGTGGGTTTGAACCACCAACCTTCTGGTTAGCAGTCCAGTGCCTTAGGCACTATGCTACCAGAGTTCCATGTGCTTAGTATCTTTTGAAGCTCCTATTTAATCAGTTCAAATAATCTTTGCCAGTTCTTAGGCAGAAAGCCTAATGGTTCACTTTCACATGTTAAGGTGTAAATGAGTGCTTCCAGTCACACTTGCATTGTCAAATAGGATGCAGTAAGCTCTGATACACTCCTTGGAAGGAAGATGGGCAATCTACTTCCGTAGCAATACCACCTTGGAAACCCAAGGAGGGGTTGCTATGAGTTGGCTCAGACTTGATATCAGTGAGTTTGAGTTTGTGTGAAGCTCTGATAACTATCTGATTGGACCTTCAGAAATCTTGTGGCTCTGCTTGTGACTTGTACATTATACCACATAGAAGACAAACTACTCTGCTTTTGTTTCTGGGTACAACTTGCCCTGACTTTTGCTTGTAGGTGCCTGCACGCACCGCCTCTTATCCCACTTCTCTTTGAACTGGTGATCAAATGCCAGTATAGTCCTCTCCTTACCAGTGTTAAAGAGGAAGAGAGGTAGAACTACAGTTCTCTTCTAGAACAGGAATTGAAGCTTTTCATGTATCTTCTGTACATATAAGTCCCTCTTTTGAGACTTGTAAGGTCTATAGCATAAAAGTTCCAAATATATTTCTATATAATATTTTAAAGCAAACTCAGATTTTATTGGTTAGAACAGATGATAGAGAGCTGGATTTTATATCTTAAGAAGAAAATGTCTAATTATTCATAAATTCTTTCTCTCTTAAAATTTTATTTAAAAATTTTTAAAACTTAAGAAAAATTGACAGACTAATAGAGTGAATATCCATTATGCCCATCCTGTAGATGGACCAAAGAGCTCTGGTGGCACAGTGGTTAAAGCTTTAGGCTGCTAACCAAAAGGTCACAGTTCAAACTCACCAGCTACTTTGCAGGGCAAAGATGAAGCAGTCTGCTTTGTAAAGATTTACACCTTGGAAGCCTTATGGGGCAGTTCTACTCTGTCCTAAAGGGTCACTAGGAGTTGGAACGACTTGATGGCAGTGGGTTTGGTTTTGGTGGATCGATGCACCAGATGTGAACATTTTGCCACATTTGTTTTGTCTCTCATTCTCTAGTTGATTGACCATTTGAAAGTAAATTGCACATCCTGACTCTTCATACCAAAGTACTTCTGAGTCTCCTGAGAATAAGGACAGTTTCATGTAACTCCAATATTATTTTCATACCTGAGAAATTTACTTCTATATAATTTCCCTACTCTAGTCTGTTTTTCATTAAAGATCTCTTAAACCATGTACAGATCAAAAATTGTTTCATAACACATACAGCCAGTGAGTAAAATTTAAATTTAAGTTTTTAAAGCTGTAATGTTAACTTTTTTATATAGTAACATGCTTTTGTGCATACTTACAGGTGAATTAGAGTAAAAGTTTTACTAATGCCAGTGGGAATTTTTTCTGAGAAAAATTTTCATATATTGTAAATGATTAAAGCATTCCTGGTATACATTCATTATCACAGGCCCTTGGAATTTCCTGGTTTTGGTTTACAAGATTCCTGTGAAGAATGAAAGAGCTAAGTGGGTAGCAGGGTCTGTGGTGGTGATGATCAAGATAAGCTAAGCCTTGCACTCTTTTAAAAACTCTTGTAAATAAGGAAGTTAAAATGTTTTGTTGTGCCATTTAATGATTTTGGCTCTTTTTATAGCTATAAACCTGTATGACATCTTGCATGTCAGGCTGCTTATTGGCTCTCAGATTGCAGCAGAGATGCGGGAAGCCATGTGTAATCAATTGGGTCTCACTGGCTGTGCTGGAGTGGCTTCTAATAAACTGTTGGCAAAATTAGTTTCTGGCACCTTTAAACCAAATCAGCAAACAGTCTTACTACCTGAAAGTTGTCAAGATCTCATTGATAGTTTGAACCACGTAAAAGAAATGCCTGGTAAGACAAATATATTTGAAAATTGTTTAATTGTTTTTATTGTATTTCTTTAATTTTAAAAATTATAAATACAATGTAATTAATTATCGGAGTGTATAATACTTGGTTCTTTGAAAAACCAGAACTCCTGATATATTCTGGAAAGACTCTGTATTAGGAACCGTATGACAGTACTTTCCTGCTTCCACCTATTTCTGTTTCATTAGAATATGATCATAAACATTGTAACTTGGAATCATATGATCCTATATTCATCTCCACTCCCTGGTTCATGGTTTTATACTGTGCATTGCATCTAGAGGGGGGAGTTAGTGTATTATGAACTCTGTTTTAGGATTATGTGTATAATAGTAACTCATCGAGAACGGAACCCTCCATGGCAGCTAAGACAAGACCCTAATTTTAAAGATAAGGTAACTGATTTCCTTGAATGGTTATGTGACCTACTCAGGTCATGGGGCAAGTTTGTGTCTTTGAAGATCGGTATTTACTTTTCAGAGAGCGTCAATAGTGGATATGTTACACTTCATTTCTGTGGCATTGCTGGGGCATAACATTTTGTAGTAGATTTCTGTGGCAGTGTTTTCTAAAACAATTAAAACGTTCCTCTTCAAATGCCATAACTTCAGATTTTTAACCCATGTTTGTGATCCCAAAATGTGTGATACACTGCCTGACTTTCTTTAGTATAGTAGAGTCATAATTTGAAGTTTTGGAGATGATTCTGGGTCTGAGTGGTGAACGGTAACTACTCTGTTAGGTTGTAATATATTGGTTCAAAACATTTTTACTTTTTGAGTCCTTGTATGTGTTTTTTCTTTTTTTCACATACTTTCTATTTTCTTTCTTATTGCCAAATTGCCAGCTCATATTTATTTCAGCTGTGAAAATATCTGCCAGTCAACTTTAATAATTCCCCTACATACCTCTCTCCTCTGATTTACTGTTTCCACTGTGCAAGGAAACCAGTAATTGTATGATTTTAAAATAGAGAGAACAGAACAATCAGAGTGGAAATAATGAGAATGGTCATGTATTGTGAAGAATGTAATGAGTGTCATTGAACAACTTGTGTAGAAATTGTTGAAGGGGGATCTAAACTGCTGTGTAAACCTTCACCAAAAACACAGTAAAAGACTATTTTTTTAAAAAAAATAAAAAGAGAAGTGACGTTAAATGGCCCAAGTATTCTTCCTGTGAATAAAGTGTGACTGAGTTTTAGTGTAAGAACTTTGTGATGGGAATTTTGTTACTCAGAAGATTTTTTGTTTGTTTTCTGGTTTTTAGTTGTATTGTGGGTGATAATCTGTTGCCAGATACAGGTTTTGGATAAATGTATATGTGTTGTAATCAGTTAACTTAGCTGTTAAACTTAATCTATCTGATACTAATTGCTCTAGCGACTGTCTTTCTTTATATGAATAATAACAATGATGGCTGAATACTTCCACAGTATTATGTAACATTTAGGAAAAATTTCACTTTATCAAGATGGCATTTATTGGCTGCCTCTGTATTCAGTATATTACACTATTTGTTCTGAGGGCTTTAAAATGTTCCTACAACTCAGGGGCCCTGAGTGGAAGAATGTCCTAATTTTCAGTAAGTTTGATCTTAGCAAAATGCAAATTATAGAGCTTGCAAATGTGGCTGATGTAATATTTTAATTTATTTTATTTTAAGGAGCTCTGGTGACGCAGTGCCTAAGGCATTTGATTGCTAAGCAAAAGGTTGGCAGTTCAAACCCACCAGCCACTCCATGGAAGGAAGACCAGGCAATCTACTTTAGTAGAGGTTTACCACCTCAGAAACCCAGTGGGGGTCACTATGAGTCGGAAGTGACTCAACAGCAGTGGGTTTGGTTTAGCTTTATTTTAAGGAGAAAAGTTGTTATAATACTGTATGCATTTCTTTTTGTTTAGGTATTGGCTATAAAACTACCAAACGTCTTGAAGCTCTGGGTATTAGTAGTGTTCATGATCTTCAAACCTTTTCATCCAAAATACTAGAAAAGGAATTAGGAATTTCTGTTGCTCAGCGTATCCAGAAGCTCAGTTTTGGAGAGGATGACTCTCCTGTGACACCCTCAGGACCACCTCAGGTACATGGTAATGATACTTACAAAGTGCTGGTTATCACATTATTGGAGATAAAGATTTCTAGTTGTAGTACCATGTTCTTACTTTCCTTGTGTGATTATTAGTTAGTTACGTGATCCCTTTCCTGTTAGAAGAATGTGTCATTATGTTAGATTAATAAATATTCTTAAAGTGAATCTATGTTTTAATATTTTAAAAGTCTCACATTAGCCACTTTGATTTAAATCAACTTATTCTAATAGCCTATGCTGTTTATAACACACACTCACTGCTGTTGAGTCAGATCTGACTCATAGCGACCCCTCCTTGGGTTTCCAAGGCTGTATCACTACAGAAGTAGATTGCCCAATCTTCCTTCCGAGGAGTGGCTGGTGGGTTGGAACTGCGGTCAGGTGCCTTAGCCACTATGCCACCAGAGCTCCAATGCTGTTTATATGAGGCAATGTATTTAAATTTTAAAAAATCCTGCTTTCTGAGTAGTCCACTGATTTAGGAAATGGGGAAAGGTATAATCACCCAGTTAAACTGATGTCTTCCCGTGCGAGAAGCAGTTACCAAGTACTTTACATAAATTAGTCCTTTAATCTTCCCCAGTAATCTTTGCAGTAGATAGGGCTACTCGACTTCCCTCCCACCCCCTTCCTTTCTGCCTGCTGCCTGCCTTTTTTCAAGGTGAGGATACTGTACTTTAGAAAGGTTAAATAATCCACCCAAAGTTAAACTCATTTTGCAGTCCCAGAGGGTTAAAGGCCTTGTTGTAATTATACACTAAAGCTTGGAGTTGGTAGTAGAACTTATAATTTTCTTAACTTCCAGTGGAGTACAATAACTTCTACATAAAGAGTTAATATAGAAGTTAATTAAATGGTGCAGACTAAATGCAAGATGTAAGTTAGCAAAGCATATGTTGAATATTTATTTTATTTGTGCACTAATAATTGGCTGTACTTATTTGGGTTTACAATAATCCTTATTTGTGCTTCTTTGGTAGTCCTTTAGTGAAGAAGATTCATTTAAAAAGTGTTCATCAGAAGTTGAAGCTAAAAAAAAGATTGCAGAACTACTTGCTAGTCTTTTGAACAGGTGATTTTCCATTTTGCCAAGTCATCTTGCATATTTGTTCTATAGATAGTGTATGGAAAGGATACGTGACGTTCTATCTTGGAATTTACAGAATAACTGGAGACTGGACAATGTAAGGAGTCCCTGGATGGTTCAAGTGGTTAACACTCTGACCTGCTAACTGAAAGGCTGAGGTTCAAGTCCATTCAGGGGTGCCTCAGAGGAAAGGCATGGCCTTCTCCTTCTGAAAAAAATACCAGCTGTTGAAAACTCTATGCAGCACAGTTCTACTCTGGCATACCTATGGTCACAGTAAATCAGAATGGACTCAGCAGCACCTGTTGTTCTTTTTTTCACAATGTAAAGATTATTTGTCACTGGATTTCTCTACATTATCAGCTTGCAAAGATAGTAATAGGTATACTTAGCTACTAATTCAGTCCATTTGCTTCCATTGGTCTTAGTTTTAGTAACACTGTGGTTACAGCATAGCTCTTGAGCTGCTGAAAGTTACCCGAAGGAGTTTTATGGGTACCTTTAGGGTTCCTAGACCTATTTTAGTCTTTGGCAAAAGGGAAGAAGTTTAATTATTCCCTGTAGCAATTGCAAAACCTTTGCTCTGATCCTATTAATAATTACTTGCTTTTCAGTAAGAGGAAAGAAACGTAGAAAGGAATAATCCTGTCATAGTTCTTAATAAGAACAGGTATATAAATTTGTGATGGTTGGGGAAGGAAATTTTTAAGAGCAACAATGATGAGAGAAGCAGAACTCTCATATCTCCTTTGCCTCAGACTAGGAGAAAGAAAATGAGGTCGGGACAAAGGAAGTAGTAGCTAAATGGGGCTATGTGTGAGCAAACGTAAGGGATTGTGGGTATGTGCAGAATCATTGATCTGTAAATAGATGAAAATGTCAACTGGAATTATGGCTATATGAACAGGATAACACAAGCTGAATAAGAAATGTGGTTTCTCAGTACTCTGTAGAAGACTGTTACCTCTCTTCCTCCCATTTCTTTGACTCTTTGTTAGAATTTTCTCAAAATAGGGTGTCAGGGCTAACAGTTGAGAATAGGTGTGCTTCTGTGATGATGCTAGCTGGCCTAAATGTGACTAGAGAAAACAGTTTCTGGATGACTCTAAGTCTCAGAAAACTGATGAAGTGAAATTTCCCACAACTTGACAGTCACACACAGTGTGTTTCTTACGTTTTGAGCAGAGCCATGCAGCTCATTGTTTGCTGCATGCAACTGGGGCTGGTTAGTTTGCCGCAGCTCTGTTGCTGTGACTGAGGCTGGTCCTGTGAGTGTGCTAGTGAAACATGGTTATCTGCTCTGCATCAGCAAAATGTAAGACTACTCTGAAATGCCTAGCCGTCAGAGACTATAGTATAATGTCACCTAAGTGCTGGCAGAAAAGTATGTGTGTGTGTGTGTGTGTGTGTATGCATGTACGTACATATGTATGTATACCCACTCCTTACCAACATGGTTAGGTTTCAAAGGCCCAGTCATTATGTGAAAATGAGTGTCAAAGGACAATGGAGTATGACTGCATCATTACATAACTGCCAAACTACTGAGAATCTTGGTCCAGCCAAGTTGACACATAACCTTCATCACAGCTCTGTTATTCTCACTTTGCACTTTGGTGTTTGTCACTGAATTATTTTAATGCACAAAATAGTTGGAGCATAGTTTTTCACTACTGTCATAAATATGAATGAGATACTCGGTAAGTGATGAGTAGGGGTGTGTGTGTGTATGTGTGTATATAATGTACTTATTTAAGGATTTTTTTTTCTTCTAAAGTATGATTAATATATAGCCATGTTAAAAGTTGTAAAATAGTAATAATTTTTAATCCATCCTTTCTCCTTGTTAGTGGGCAACTAGTCGATTCTGACTTATGGTGAACCCCATGTGCTGCAGAGTAGAACTGCTGCTCTGTAGGGTTTTCTTGGCTGTAATATTTACAGAAGTAGATCAGAAGGCCTTTCTTCTGCTGTACTGCTGTTATTGTTAGGTGCTGGCGAGTTGTCTCCAACTCATAGCAACCCTGTGTACAGCAGAACGAAACGCCACCTGGTCCCAGGTCAGCTCCATGGTTGCTGCTATACTTGAGCCCATCACCGCAGCCACTATGTCAATCCATCTTGTTGAAGGCCTTCCCCTCTTTCGTTGACCCTCCACCTTACCAAGCATGACAGCCTTCTCCAGGGAATGGTCCCTTATGACAACATGACCAAATTAGGTGAGATGAAGTCTGGCTATTCTCGCTTCCAAGGGGCATTCTGGCTGCACTTCCTCCAGGACACATTTGTTCTTTTAGAAGTCCATGGTACTTTAAGCATTCTTCACCAGCACCACATCTCAAAAGCATCAATTCTTCCTCGGTCTTCCTTATTCATCGTCTAGCTCTCACATGCATATGAGGTGATTGAAAATATCATGACTTGTGTCAGGCACACCTTAGTCCTCAAGGAGACATTTTTGCTCCTTAGCACTTGAAAGAGGTCCTTTGCAGCCATCTTGTCCAGTGCTATATGCCGTCTGATGTCCTGACTGCTGCTTCCATTGGCATCAATTTTAGAACCAAGCAATGTGAAGTCTTTGACAGCTTTAATCTTTTCTCCATTTATTGTGATGCTGCTTATAGGTCCAGTTGTGAGGATTTTCATTTTCTTTATATTGAGATGTAATCTATAGTGCAGACTGTAGTCTTCAATCTTCATCAGTAAGTGCTTCAAGTCAACTTCACTTTCAGCAAGCAAAGTTGTGTCGTCAGCATATCGCAGGTTGTTAATGTTCTTCCTCCAATCTTGATGCCATGTTCTTCTAAATATAGTCCAGCTTCTTGGATTATTTGCTCAGCATATAGATTAAATAAGTATGTTGAAAGGATACAACCCTGATGCACTTCCTTCCTGATTTTAAACCATGCAGTATCCCCTTGTTCTGTTTCCACAACAGCCTCCTGGTCTATGTACAATTAAGTACTCCTCACGAGTACAATTAAGTGTTCTGGAATTCCTGTTCTTCTCAAAGTTATCCCTAATTTATTATGATCCACACAATCAAATGCTTTTGCATAGTCAATAAAACACAAGTACACATCTTTCTTGTATTCTTTGCTTTCAGCCAAGGTCCATCTGACATCAGCAATGATATCCCTTGTTCCACATCTTCTTCTGAATCTAACCTGCACCTCTAGAAGTTCTCTGTCAATATAGTGCTGAAACCGTTTTTGAATTATCTTGAGTAAGATTTTACTTGCATGTGATATTAATGATATTGTTCGATAATCTCCACATTCTGTGGGATCACCTTTCTTTGGAATGGGTACAAATATGGATCTCTTCCAGTCATTTGCTCAGGTAGCTGTCTTCCAAGTCTCTTGACATAACCAAATGAGTGCCTCCAGTGGGGCATCTGTTTGTTGAAACATATCAGTGGGTATTCCATCAATTCCTGGAGCCTTGTTCTTCGCCAATTCCTTCAGTGCAGCTTCGAATTCTTCCTTCAGTACCACTGGTTCTTGATCATATGCCATCTCCTGAAATGGATGAACATCAACCAGTTCTTTTTGGTACAGTGACTCTGTGTATTCCTTCCATCTTCTTTTGATGCTTTCTGCATCGTTCAATATTTTGCCCATAGACTCTTTCAGTATTGCAACTTGAGGCTTAAATTTTTTCCTCAGGACCTCCAGTAAGATGGAGGAATAGGCAGACAAGCTACACAGATCCTCTTCAACAAAGAAAAGAGAACCAATTGACAGATATACTGAAGATAATCCTCGAGCTCTGAGCTTTGAAAGGAAGTATACAGAAGTGGATTAGGCATTGGCTAGTGGGAGCTCTGGTAGCATAGTGCCTAAGGCACTTGACTCCTAACCAGAAGGATGGCGGTTCAAACCCACCAGCCACTCCTCGGAAGGAAGGTTGGGCAATCTACTTCCGTAGTGATAC